GTGGAGCCCCTGGCGTCCACCATCATTCTGTGCGCATGCGCCGATGTGGCCACGCCCCTACGTGCCGTGATGAATTGCGTGTGTATCCGGTTGCTATGGCAACCCGGCTAAATCACAAAACCTATTAGATTAAATAGAAATCCCACTTTACAAGTCAAATCATCCTGTAAAAAGAGATATTGAGGATGGAAGATCAAATAGAAAGTTAATAGGAAGTGAAACTAGTATGTGTTTAAAGTGCATAGGGAAATATACATGCTTAATCTATTGGTTAATACATTTATGTTGGCAAGTAAAGACTTGCCATAAAGTGCCAATATATGCTATAAAGTGCTAAGACCAGTACCAAAATTTATACTGGAGGTAAAGTGTATTGTAGTTAAAGTGTCATTAATGTAAAAAAGTGCAAACAGTGGCATAGTCATTACTTAAAGTGTAAAGAAGTGCTCACATGTGCAAATATACTTAAATAACAGATCTATGTTAATAAATTATTCCCTGGTATATAAATGTATCAAATCATTAAAAACTTAATAATTAAAAATTACACATAATAGAAACATTATTCCTATTGCTTTTTAAGGGATCATAATTAAAGAAACGAATGGTAAGAAACCATTTCATTAAGTCCTCTAGGTGCAATCGTATTCAATTGGAAGATCCACTCTGTCTCTCTATTAAGGAGAATTTTACCACGATCCCCCCCTCGCCTGGGTATAGGGATGTGGTCTATTGCAACAAATTTTAAAGAGGAAAGTGGGTGTTTCATTTTAAAAAAATGTTGTGCCACAGGTTGTTCTGAATGTCCATCCATATATGCCACACGTATTGCTGATCTGTGTCCCCGTATTCTTTCACACAGTGGAGTTTCAGTTTTGCCAATGTAGGCTAACCCACATGGACAGGTTAGTTTGTAGACCACAAATGGTGTTTTACATGTAATAGTGTGTTTTATCTTAAACACCTTATTATTATGTGGATGTTGAAAGGATTTTGCTGGAGTCATATGGCTACATGTAACGCACCCTAAATATTAATATGTTCCAAAATTCGGTTCTTGAAGGGTCTAATTGTCTTGCCTACATATTTCATATTGCAGCTGCATGTAATGAGGTATACCAGGCCGGACGTTTGACAATTAAAGAAGGTTTTGGTAGTGTGACTTTCCGTGTTAGATGAATTAGAAAAGGTTTTTGATTGTTTTGATCTAACACGGAAAGTCACACTACCAAAACCTTCTTTAATTGTCAAAGTCCGGCCTGGTATACCTCATTACATGCAGCTGCAATATGAAATATGTAGGCAAGACAAT